GTCCAGCCAGGAAAGGCCTCCTCATTCCCGCAGCCTTCCTGGCGGGGGAAACGCTCCGGCCTCTTCGGGAGCCAGAAGGGCGCGCACCGGAGTCCCGCCTTCCCCAGGGGCCCCCTCTCGCCCCAAGAGCGGCCAGCCGCGACCGCGGCCGTTTCAGACCCCTTCCGCATTTCTGGAGCCTCCTCGGGCGGCAACAGGCGCCAGCACAGAGGAGGCCCCCTCCCCTCCCTCCCTCCCTGCCTGCCTGCCTGCCTGCCTGCCTGCCTTTCTCAGGCACCTTGGAGACCTGCCCCATCCGGCGGCACCTTGGAGACCAGCCCCATCCCAGAGTCAAGGAGGCTCTCTTCTTCTTCTTCTTCTTCTTCTTCCCCAGACACCTTCTCTTGCAGACCAACATGGCTCCCCTCTGAGATCCCCATATTGGAACAGAACAGTCCAGGAGAGGGTGCTTTTAAGAAAGGAACGGTGAACGGTGCCAGCATGTACACTAGACATTTTCTACCTACTCAGAATCCTAGAGCTGGAAGGGAGCTCCGGGGTCATCTAGTTCAACCCCCCTGCACAAGGCAGGGAATTCACTTCTTTGTCCTTATACTCATGTAATACTGCTTTCTGCACTTCCAAAAATATGCTCTCTGATACCCTGGGCTTCGCTTCAGACCGCTCTGATCCTAATCCTCCTCCATTGCTTATTAGATGTCTCCTCAGGCTGTTGACTGTATGGACTTCCACCAGGGCTCCCCAACCTTTCTGAGCTGGTGGGCACATTTGGCATCCTGGCACCACTTGGTGGGCGGGCAGAGCCACAAAACGGCTGCTGCGGGAGCTGGAGCCCGTCAGACACAAAACGGCTGCCCCAGCCAGGGGAAGCTCCTTGTCATGTGTGCTGGGACTGCTGCCAAAGCGGCATTTCCCAAAACTTTCCGAGCCCCAGCAAAACCCATCCTCGCCAGGCACCACCAGGAAAGGGGTCAGGGGCAAAGCTCCCTCTCAGCTGTGGAGCCTTGTGAGCAAAAAGTCTGCTTGGTGAGCTCCTGGCATTCAAGTCATGAGCGAGCGATTGGGCTGCTGCATAAATCAGCTTGCTTTGGAGCCCTCCTTCCTGAGTGAAGACAAAAATGTGCGAGCCGGGGGGGGGGGGGCTAAAAAACTGTGAGCTGGCTCACACAGACTCAGCTTAGAGGGGACACTGGTCGGGGTGTGCCAGGGCCCCTGCAGGCAGTGGGCAACATCCTGGGGATCCCTTGACGTTCACGGTAGAGTCCACCTGGAGTCCAGGAGAGGAAGGCAGATTATAAATGAAAGAAAAGCCAGGATGCGAGCGTCATGTGGGTGACAGAGTGTCAGTTTGGTTGTAGCCGGCCAGCATGCAGCTGCTTCTCTGCCAATGACGAGGCTGACAATGAACACTCTTCCTCGTATGGCAGCACGACTTGTCGCATTCTTCTTCTTTTCTGGTCTCCAGGTTGCACACTTGGGGGGAGTGTGTGTCTCCCCAGGATCCCTTCACCCTCAGGGCTGATCCTGCTCGGCCCACTGGTGGTCCCCAAGAGAGAAGGGCCCCCGCTGCTGATGAGCCCAGCCAGAGAGATTCCTGGAGGAGACCCAGAGAGCAGGCCGCCCGCCAGACAGCCCGTGGGGCTCATCCGGGCAAGCTGTCCCCGACACATCCTTGAGAAAGGCCTCCATGCAGTCAGCCTGTCTGAACTGGAGGTAGGTGAGACGTTGGAAGCTGCCGCTTCAGTCAGACGGGCCACACCACGTGCATGGCTTTCCCATGGCCCCCCCTCCCCCAGCAGCTGTACCCCACTTCTGTTTCCCACCTGAGAGGACCAGGAGGCCCAAAGTACTGCTGGGGAAGCTCAGCCGCCCTTCCCGGAGGGGCCACGGTCTCCTTCCCTCTTTGCTAGAGATCCGAGCCCCAGGGTCAGATCATGGCCTGCTAGTAGAACTTAAATATCGAGAGGTATTCAAGGCAATGATATTAGCAGGGAAAGCAGTTATAGTATTAGGATGGAAAGACAAGAACAAGTGGACTATGGAGAATTGGAATAACTATCTTTTTGAATACATCCAATCAGATATCGTTTCCCTGATGATGGAGGAGAAAACCTGGGAAGAGAAGAAGAGGAAGACAAAAGAAAAATGGTCGCCATACTTTGAATGGATCAGAGAGGATAAAGCCGAGAAGGATACTCAATGGAAACTTTGGACTTTGTGCCCGTGGCTGAAGCAATGAAGGAAGAAGAAAGGGGAGGGAGGACTGGGGGAGGGAAGGGGGAAGGGGGGGGGAAAGGGGGGAAATATTTGTACAAGGATGAAATGTTGACTGTGAGATATTGGGTTAAAATAAAAAGACATTTCACAAAAAAAAAAAGATCGTGGCCTGCTGGAGGCAGGGCTGAGCTTGCGGCCCTCTCCTTGTGGGGACAGTGGATGGTCAGGCGCCGCGATGGGCAGGGCTTCTCCTCCACTGCAGCAGCCTCACCACCATGCTGTGGTCGGTGTCCAGCTCCTTGGCAGACCGCGCCAGCCGGCTGTGGCTAGGAGGAGGCTCCCAGAGAGGTGTGGCTGGGAGGCTCCCTCGGGAGGGATCGGGCAGGGCATGCCACGCAGCCCATGGGAGGGGCGGGGGGCGCAGAAGGCGTTTTCCTCCCCAGCCATTGTGTCGGCTGACTTTTGCCCAGCACAATGGCTGGAGATGGTTTGTGAGCCCTTCGTGCCGAGGTCCGACCCTGCTGATGGTGCAGACTGTGCCACCTGTGGCGAGGCTCCTGCGAGGCTGAGGTCTGACTTCGGTCCAGGGCCCAAGGAGGGGCCAGAAGTGGCTGCTTGTCTTTTTTGCCACGGCTGATCTCACGAGCGACACTGGCACAGTCCTCGGGGCTGGGGGAGCCGCCCGCCAAGCTCTTGACTTCTGCCCCTCCTGATGGGCAACGGCATTCTGAGCCTTGGCGAAAGAAGGGGGCTCTGAAGGAGGCAGGCACTTGGACGCTGCTTAAAGATCCTTCACCAGCTCTGGAAGACGTGGCCCATTGGAGACCGGCGTTCAGCTTGCCCGTGGCCAGAGCGGGTTGGTGACCGGGCCACCAGAACCTAAAGAGGTTAAGTCAAACAGAATAGAGGGGCCCGCTGTCCTGTTTGACTTACCTCTTTAGGTTCTGGTTCTCAGGTTTCAGGGTTAAGTCTCTTCCTCCCCCCCCCCCTTTGTTCCTAGGTGGCTGAGCCATGCCAGGGCATGGGGGGGGGATGACACACATCTGCCCGTCGCCCTTTGCAGCTGGCTCTTGGTCGGGCCCGGGCTCAGAGCAGAGACCACTTTGGTCAGACCACACGGGGCGGGCCATCTTCATAGGAAACTGGGCAGTCAGCCCTACAGATACGGTTGTGCCTCTCAGCGGTCTTCCCCGCGATGGACCATTCTTAGTCATCCGCTGAAAACGGCATAAGCAGAGGGTGGCTTCCTTCCGGAGGGGAGAAGTTGGCTGCTTGAGGCCTGCCTCCGGGGGAGCGCCACAAGGGTCCCTTTGATCCCCTCTGCTCTTTGTCAGGCCGCTGAACAGAATTGTCCTGAGCTTTGGATAAGGGCGTCATCAAGGTGGTGACGACACCAAGGCTCCCCCTAAGCTGCGGAGTCTCCTGAGCAAACATTCTACTTTGTGAGCTCCTGGCGTTAAAGTTGCGAGCCAGTGACTGGGCTGCTGCATACATTAGTTTGCTCTGGAGCCCCATCCTTCCTAAGCCGAGACAAAAATCTGTGAGCTGGAGTCTAAAATATTGTGAGGCAGCTCACACTCACTCAGCTTAGAGGGAACACTGGACGACACCCTGCTCTGTATTTTACCTCCAATGCATGCACACTTTTTCAAAGGAGCGCACACGAAAGCTCCTACCTCAAATAAAACTTTGTTGGCTTTACAGGTGCCCGACTGGACGCTAACTTTGATCTACTGCTTCAGACCAACACGGCTGACCCCACCTGGATCTGTGACCTCAGGGTGGCTCTGACGTGGTGGCTTAGACTTTGTGAGCCCCTTTCTGCCTGCGAAAATTGGTGGGGAAGGCTGCCCCCCCCCCCGCACAGGCCAGGCTACGTCAGAAGAAGAGGCCCTCAGCCAGGAATAGCCTCCGCTGCACAGATAGCGAAAGGGGAAGTGGGGGAGAGGAGTTTGGCCGCCCGGCCGAGGGAGTTCCCAGCATTTCTCTGATGACTCTATAGAGAAACAACGTCCCCGTCGGGGCAGCCTGGAAAAATTCCAAACCCGCTTCCTTCCACTTTTGGTGTCGTGGTTAAGTGCGAGGACTCTAATCTGGGAGAACCGGGTTTGATTCCCCACTCCACCTCCATTTGCACCTGCTGGATGGCCTTGGGCAAGCCGTAGTTCTGATAAGAGCTGTTCTTGAAAAAGAGCTGTTTTTGTCAGAGCTCTCTCAGCCCCGCCTACCTCACACTTACTCAGCCCCACCTACTGCTACTACGGTACTACTACTACTACTACTTCTCCTTCGCCAGTTTGGTGTAGTGGCTAAGTGCGCGGACTCTAATCAGGGAGAACCGGGTTTGATTCCCCACTCCACCTCCACGTGCACCTGGCTGGATGACCTTGGGCAAGCCAGAGTTCTGATAAGAGCCTTCCTTGAAAAAGAACCGTTTCTGTCAGAGCTCTCTCAGCCCCCCCACCTCCTTCCTAGGGTGTCTATTGTGGGGAGGGGGAAGGGAAAGGAGTTTGTCAGCCACTCTGAGACACCTTTGGGTAGTGAAGGGCAGGGGATAAATTCCAACCTCTTCTTCTTCTACCTCACAGGGTGTCTGTTGTGGGGAG